TAATTGCCTTCTAGCATATTCCTCACATAGTCCATATTTTGGATAAAACAGACATCTTAGTTTTTCCCTTGTGGGTAGAAACATCTCCAATTCCTGTCAGCAAAGCTCTTTATTTTTGCTCTCCTCTGAAGTAATCAGGGTCTCCCCAGTCTTTGTGACCTGGTGATTAGAAATAGCTGGAGACTCGGCTCAGGCGCCACGAGCTGGGAGACCACAGGTTTCCTGATTCTGCATCACCTCCTGGCTGGAGAGGCTAAAGCTGAGTTCCTTCTTACTGGCCCTGCCCTTCAACTTGGTAGTCTGCTTGTGACACTGAATGGTCCTTGGGTTGCTGTCTTTCATAATTTTATTTTGCTTTTTGTTTTTGTTTTTATTTTAAGAGCAGTTTTGTTTTGTTTTTCCATTAAAAAGATCCCCACTAAAGGTTCCTTTCTATGATTGCAAATGTTGACAATCTTGTTATAAGTTTGGGTCAGTCTGCCGTCCACAGAATCTATACACGGTCCTCTTCAGGGACTTAATTTCGTGCTTCCCTAAAGCAGCATCAACAAAGAAAAGAAGCGGTCAGGGTTGTCAATCCATTATGCTCTTTAAACATAAAAGCAACTAGTTAGAACTGTGACTACTGTATCCAATGAACATGGGGTGGAAGATCAAGGAAGAGAGATAAGAAAGATGAAGTTCTTTGTGGTGGTCAGTCACTAAGCAATCTGATCCTCTCGTTAACCTTTCACAGGTTTTCAATTGTTTCTTTCAATCCTGCATTTTTGAAGTCTTGAGTAGAATTCTTATTACATCATTCTAATCTTAAAGATTCAAAAACTCTTCTTAGAATAGTCTTCTCAGAAGATGGGTGCAGATTGTTTACTGGCTGAATTCGCGCCATGATTTCTGGGGCGGTGTCCTCTCCCCATCCTGAAATCAATCTCCCCTCAGCTTGTCATCACATTTGCAGATCATAAAACTCACCTGTTTGGACACATGACTTTAAGTAAATCTGAGTTGTACAATCTTCACCCCCATCTGTGTCCTTCAACCCCAAGTAATCCCTTGTCAGTCACTCATGGGGGCCACCACTACTGATTACTCTCCACCTCTGTAGACCTGTCTTTCCAGGACATTTCACGTAAGTGGATTCACATATGATGCTGTGATTGGCTTCATTTCCAGGGCGTAGGTCAGCCAGCTGGTAGCATGACTGGTACGTGCTTCATTCCTTTTTATTACCAAGTAGCCCATTGTAGAGATTCACCACCTTTGCTTATCCACTTACCAGTGGCTACTGGGTTGTTTCCCCCTTTTAATATTATAAAGCATGCTACTTATGAACATTCACAGACCAGTCCTTGCATAAACGTGCTTTCACTTCTCTTGCATAGGCACCTAGGAGCAGAACCTGGGCTCACGTGTACGTTTACGTTGAACATATTTTTAAAAAGCCAAACGTTTAAGTGCATTGCATTGTCACAGCAGTGTTTGGAGATTTAGATGGCTCTGGTTTTAAATGCCTGCTTTTCAGAATAGTTACCTTCGACCATAATGTTGCCATGAGCTAGGGGCAGGTTTCCCGTATAGCCAGGCCATCCACTCAGTTGGCTAGCCCACCCATCTCCCAGTCAGAAGGTATTCCACACTCACCTTTATTGCTTGTTAACAAGTTTTGAATCTCATCGCTCATTTATTAAAACACAACTTCAGCGTACTCAGTACCTTCTCTGTACTCTGCTTTGTGTTACTGTCCCAGGGACATGGCACTTTGGTGTCATTTATTTTCTTGCACTTTTGTCTGCCCTAACTAGTCAAGAAGCCCTCCAGAGAAGAACACAAAATGTGGCATACAAATGGGTCTTTTAAAGTACTTTTTTGAATGTTTGAAGACGCAATCTATACATTTGTTCAAATTTCAACTTATCTTTTTTTTTTGTTTGTTTTCAAAGAGGACACAGATGTCATATAGGACTTACTCATGGAAATATGCCATGGCATCTAAAAATAAAAGAGTCTAAAAATACCTTGGGGAGAAGTCCAAATCTTTTGGTTTACACGAAAAATCTGAGGTCTGGAGCTGTGAATTGTCTCGCCCAAGGTCATTTGTAGCTCCCCTCCCAGAAGACCCCCTGCAATAAAAAGACAGGTGAATGGGAGTGTTGGGCGGTAAGAGTGAGGCTGGTTAGGGGAGGCATCCTCAAGGCTGCATTCAGTAGGGGAGTAGGATGGACATTCCCTCTGAGAAGCTGGGGTGCTGATGAATAAGACATGTAACTGTGAAGCATGAAGAGCGGCCCTGGGAATGGTGTGATCTTTGCAGAGGGAAGTAGGTAAGACAGAAACACCAGACTAGGCTAAATGCACGTGGATGGACTTGCAAGCCTGGGGTAGGGTGGTCTTGGTCACAGAAATAAGAAGATGGGAGAGAAATACATTTAGATGACATCTATGACTCTGGGGAAGAAAGCCTCGTACTCACTGTTCCCTTCCATTACGGGCTGTTCCACGCACAAGCGAGTAGCCTCAGGCAAACAACTTGATGACTCTGAAGTCTCTTTTTTTTTCTCATCTGTAAAATGGGGGCAATGACAATCACCTTCTAGAGTTGTAGGGAGAATTCATTTCGGGTGATACATCGAAGGCGTTTAGACCTGAGTTTGGTGCATCGTCAGGGTAAGTTCTGGGGTGTGAGTGTGTGTGTGTGTGTGTGTGTCTCTTAGTCTTGTGACTTCTCTCCCCTCACATTACACTTCAATCTGGGTGTTTGGTGAGAAGCACTGCAGTTGCTGCTTCAAAAGGGACAAGCCATGTTGGACGCTCAATGGCAGGTGGGAGATAAATTATCTCCTCTTTTGGAGTTGGGTAATGTTTTAACATCCTCAATTTAAAGTTTCTTAAAGGAACTAACATTTAAAAAAAAAAATACCACACTTACACAGTTGTCCAAGTCTTAAACCAGCCATATCTGAAAAAATAAATGAGGCAGCTACAATGTCTACTGTGGTTTTTAAACGCCACTCACAGGGCCTTGGGGTGATCTCAGCGAGGACTGGGGTGGCCTCATCTTTGACTAGAACTGCTCCCTTTCGGTTATCATATTACTGGGCAAGACAAATATGATTTCATTTGCAGAAATGGCTTCAGTTTTTGGAAAAGGTCCTGTGGCAAATTTAACAAATATATCAGAGTGAAAATGACACTAGTGGTAAACCTTCAAGAATGAAAATATATAAGCCACAAAATTTTTTAATTAGCTAGACAAATTTGTGAAACATAGTTTCTAAAGCCTATGGAAGGAAAAAAAAAAAAAACAAACCTCACAGGATACAAATACTACACCTTTCCCTTTTCCTCACACTGGTATTCACACCAATATTCTAGAATTCTATTTGAAGAGAATTGGGGGAAATGCAAATTGAACCTTGGACAAGGACTTCATGCTTGTCCCTATTTGTTTAGGAAACAAAGTATTTCACAAAAACCCACATTCCCTGAAAAATATGTTTGTTCTGGCTTAAAAATAATCATTTCCTCAGTTTGATTTAGATAAAGCATCTTAAGAAATTCAAAATCACTTAGCTTGTGGACAACTAAATGTCATGTTACTTTCTGAATTCCACGAAGATGTCTTCAACATTAATTTTCTAGACTTTGTTTTTAGACTTCATTATTTCGTGGCCTTCCCTATTAGGTGTCAAGTTCTGTTATCGCCTATATTTTAATGAACTTCTTTTGAAAACATACACACACACACACACACACAAACACACACGGTTGTTTCTTTACAAAAGGATTCATGTTTAAATATAGACTTTGACAGTTTTCACTCACTTCTAGACTTTGACAGTTTTCACTCACCTCTCACTGTCCTCTCTCCTCCAAGGAAAACTCTCTTACATTCCCCTTATTTCTCAAAAATCCAGAGCATCCAATTCAGTAGCATTTCAATCATTTTCTTATTTTTTTTTCAGGGTTTATTCTCTGCAACCATTTTCATTTCATTTGAAATAAATTAAAAAAAAAAAGTTGGACCTGGGGTTCACTTTATTTAATTTTTAAAACAATTATTTTACCTTTGGAATATATTTCTGGGTTTTAGATACATCCACAGGGAGGAGGAGAGCGTGGCATTACCAATCCAGGCTCTGGAAGAAGCTCTGGAAGCTCCTTCCCCGGCGCAGCCTTGCAAGAAGCTCTAAGGCTGGGCCGTTTCCTGAGCCTCACTTCTGCCTCTGAGTTCAGTGGGCGCAGTAACGACACCTCTCTCACCAGGCTGCGGAATTACAGACATTAACGTTTAAGGAAGCACTTGGGATAGCACCAGGAACACAGAGGTGTTTAAGCAGTGTTTGCCATCATTAGCTATTCTTGGTTCCCAAGGATAGTCAGAGAAGGCTTCGGTTGTTTTAATTAAATGTACTCGGACATTTAGACAAGGAGCCTATGAATAGATTAGAACTCTTCATGCAATTAGACTAGAGGCAAAGATATTCCATGCAAAGGTCCTTCGCTTTTCAACTTTATTTATACTTTCCAACTTTCAGGACTGAAGGGACATCAGGCAGCATTTTGCTCAACGTGTTTATTTCATGGCTGAAGACCCCAGGGCGGGGCTGAGGCCACCTGCAGAGAGGCACTGAGCAAGGCAAGGCAGCTGGAACAACGCTGCCGTCAAGTTTCCTTTAGGTGCTGAGAAGTCGCTTACTGGCACATTCTGTGCCAGTCAGGGTGGCATATAAAAGCATTTACATTTTCGGACCTGTCAACATTCAGAGTAAATAGAGGTCGGTCAACTAGTATTGCTTTACAACTATTTCTTACTTATGCTATTATTATTCTGATAGAAAATGCTAGCAGTCGGGGTGTTTCTATATGCTTCCGTTTCCAACATCCCTGAAAGATACTGCTTAGATAAAACCTTGAGAGAACACGGTTTGAAGTCACAGAAACAGAGAAGCCTGCCCTGCTGGAATGCTGGGCCCCGAGTGCTGAGCAGCACGAGCTGTGGAGCGTCAAAGTTTTATTTAAAGTTATAGAACGCTTAAAAATAAACAATATAATCTGCTTGAAATCTTGTTGGAACATAGAAAAATGCTTTCCATTATGCTTAAAACCCTCAAGGTTTACCCAAAGTACGCTAGGCAGCTAGTTGGACGGCTAGGGTGAGCACGGCTCGCCACGGGTGGCGGGGTAGGAGGTAGCTGCGGACGGCCCTGTGGGCAGGAGGCTTCGTCCTACTCTGCTTGACGCTGTTTTTTCTTGTGGCTCTCGATCGCCCTCCGAAGAGCTTCATCCAGGATGAGGTCAGACATTCTCACATCTGTGTGGCTACAGCCAATTTTAGGGCAACTGTAGGGGAAAGAAAATCAAGTCAGGCCACTTCCCTTGAAGGCCTGCGGTGTAAACTTCCATCCTGTGCAAATATTGAATTGAGGAAGATATTTCAAAAAGGACACGCGCCAATCAGCGGGGCGGGTGGGCACGCGTGCGTGTACTCTCTGAGGTGCTACCCGAGCCAGGCCCTTCCTGGGGCTGCGCCCACCTCGGGGCCCTCACGTTCCCAGGCGCCACGGACAGTGACGCTGAACGTTCAGGCAAGTGAAGTTCCATGAAGGCAAGGAGGTCGGGGCAAGGGGGAGAGCCCGGGGTGACGAGGCTTTTCTAAGCGGGGTGAGGGCAGGCCTTGCTGACTTCGCCGCCGTGGCCTAGGTTGAGGCAGGATATCCTGGAATAAGAGCTAGGTCAGTATGTCCACAGCGCCCAGGACAAGCAGGAGGGATTGAGGAGATGAGATCGCAGGCAAGTGGGGCTTGGGGTTTTGCTCTAAATATAAAACTCCAGAGGGGCTGACAGGGGAGGGGGGCGGTTTGGCTCTGTACTTAGGAAACATGACAGTGGCGGGGCTCTGTGGAGGCTCAGGGAAGAGTTTATGCAGGGAACCTTGGGGGATCCTGAGTAGTTCAAAAAAGAGAGTGCAGCCTGGCGGGGTTGGAGGCAGTCACTGGCTTCAGGACAGGTCTGAGAGCAGAGCCTCCAGGACTTGCTGGCAGATCAGGAGTGGGATGCAAAGAAGAGAAGCGTGAGCTTCCTTCAGTGTTGGATGAGGGGTGGGCCCTACACAGATGGGACACAGCTAGGAAACCGAGCTGGGGTGGAATTAAGAGCCCCAGTTGGTACCTGCTCCCTCTGAAATGCCCATTAGGGATGGTGCAGGCCAGTGGGGACTCAGGGGTAAAGCAGTGGCTAAATAAATGGGTGGGTGAGTCACCCATATGGAGGACTGCAAGCCAGGGCCGTTGAGTGTGGTCCCCCTGAAGCGGTGGGCTGGATGGGTCACCCCGGTGTGGACCATGTCTTGGTAGAGCAGAGCACCCACAGCTGGCAGTCAAGCTGGTATGAGCCTGAGTCTATCCACCTTCTATTTACTGGTTATGGGTCACAGACAACTCACTCAACCTTTCTGAGCCTCTGTGCCTTCAGATTTGAAACGGCAGAGAAGCCTGATATCACAGGGGTATGGGCCACACACACTCCATCTTGTCCATTTCCTGCCCTGTATCCTGGGAAACCATTTGGCCCTGAGCGTCCTTCTAATTACATCACATAGTTGCCGACCTCCTACATCTTGATGCATCTGACATGCGCGTACGCGTTCATGCAGTCACTCGAACCTTGTGGGATCAGCCCTTTGCTGGGTTCTGAGCATCCAGCTGTGAAATACAAATATAGGTTCCTGCCCACACACAGCTTCGGCCCAGTGATCCAAGACAACTCTCAAAAAGCACAGTTATATTAAGATCAAACAGAACAAATAGAAGACAGGATCAAAAATAAGCAATACAAGACAAAAGAGGTAAAGCAGAAGGGGAAGAAAGCTGATCCGAGAGCGCTGGCTTGTCCAGCAGGGGCAAGTTCCAACAGTCCAACACTAAAAAGAAACTTTCTCTTGCCTCTGATCTCTGGATCAAGGTGTCTTGATTGTAGAGGGTACTCACCGATGCAATGAATAATATGCTGGCTGACAAGACTTATTTTTAAAACACTGAGAGGACCCTATCAGGTGGTTAGAGCATGTGTTAAAATGTAGTTCTAAAATGACAGCCAGGGGCGGGAGTCAGGGTGATCTGGGGCAGGTCTGTGTCTTGTTGATGACTGGCTTTTCCTCAGAGTAAGGGCTACAGGTGCTGGAGGGCTGTTTTACATTCGTTTAACGCACCCTGCAGTCAAAGTAAATGCTGTAAGCATGAGCGCAAATAGCTTATAGCAAGTAAATCAATTCTGAAAAGGAGAGCCTCTTGCCCGACTTCAGAAAGGGCACTTCTCCTCACTTCAACTTCTGAGCCGTGGACCGCCCCTCGGAAGTCAGCTGCTGGGTGGACAGGTGCCGGTGGCCCCTCACTTAGCATTCATTGTCCCAGCAAACAGCCCTCTGACTGCGGCCTTGTCTCCCCACTCCACAGAACTGTCTTTCACACCGATGGCCAGACGGTGAATAAGCTGTGGATGGGGAAGTGGAGAGTGAGGTGGGAGGACTTCCTGATGACATCAGTGGGTTTAGTCTGTGAACGCGAGCATTCTGAAAATGTCTAAGGGATTCACCGCATGGCTCAGCTGCAGAGCAACCGAGTGGAACCAGGAGGGCCGAGCTCATCGAGGGGGTCAAGTCTGGGCACAAAGGCACTTACCAGAAAGCCCCCCCAAGGGGAACCAGACACCCCAATGACACAAATACAGGCTCCAGAGTAAAAAAAATGCATGGGCTCAGGCCTCTTGGTTGTGACACTCTGGGCAAGTGACAAACCCTTTTTCTTCCTGCGAGGAGAGGGTGGTGGAGCAGAGGGCTTTTGTGAACACATGCAGGACAACGGGTGCCGAGGGCCACTCAGGTGCTACAATGTGTAGTTCCTGCTTTAGTCCATGGCTTCTCCTCCTAAGAAGCTTCTGGAAAAAAGCCAGTCCACTGACAATGCTGGTGGGCCACAGGCATCTCTGTATGGATGAGGTTTAGGGCAGGTTTCCTGTGGGACAGGGTAATGCAGGAGCTGGGGGAGGCCTTGTATCTCACCCCACCTCAAATAAACTAACATAAGCTTTTAAGTGAAACAGGGTAAGACAAGGCCATAGGGTCATGGTACTGAACCAGAGTACTCCTTTTCTGGAGGATTACACTCTATAAGCATCAGGGCATTAATCCCCACTACATCCTGGTGAGAAAGATGGGTGTGGCCATCCCCAATCTCAAACTCCCACGTCACTGTTCTGCAGGGAGTTGTATGGCTGGCCTTGGAGGAGAGGCTGGGTCCTGAATGCAGGTCACCGACAGGTCAGAACATTCCATGGCAGCAGTGGGAAAGCACTGCTGAACAAAGGAAGCAGGACCAGAAGGCTGTGGGGAACGTGGGCCCCAGCATCAGCTCAAAAGTACAAGACTTGGAGTCTTAGAATTCCTGGGTCTGGGTCCCAAGAATTTCAATCCACAAGTTCTAGAAAGGTCTATAGATATCCCAGGAAATGAGGGGGATGGATTCCCATCATACCTAACCACAGAGAGTAACTCTTCCTACATCCTCAGAGTCTAAACGAATGTGTCATGAAGCAATGAGCCAAGTAATCACAACACTAACAGTCTCAACCTTCATCACCTGTGATTTGTTTGGCATTCTGTAGTTCACATGAACTTTCCCCTAAGTGGGCTGCTTTTCCATAGTCAGGCAATGTATTGGTCCAGATCTATGTTGGAATTCCCCACCGTTTCTGGTTCTAAAATTGTGGGCCACGTTGTCAGATGAAGAAACCGAGGGGCTAAGAGATCAAATTGCCTTCTGATAGGTGGTAGAGTGGCCGGCCCAGGGCCGTGCTGGCCTGAAGCTCAGTGACACGTCTCCACGCTATTTAATTTTGTCCTACATGCTCCTGAATGCCACCGCTTGTTAAATATAGTTCCTGCTCTTCAACAACAAAGACATGACTATGGACAACTGGGAATAACTTGCCGATATGAAATCACAACGCAGCTTTATTAGTAAGATAATAAACAGTTTGATATTAAGAGAGATATTTTAGGAAATTATTCTAACCACTATAGTTAGTTAGGGCTAAGGTGTCAACAATTTTCTCCTGACTCAAGCTGGTGGATAGAGGTCTTCCCAGAGGCTAAAGCACAGACAGTCAGTGCCCACTCACAGTGTCTCTGGAATTATTCCAGTCTAACAAAATATAATTAGAACAATCTAGGAGGAAGAATTGAGAGGTCTCAAATCCAATGTGTCACAGACACTTTTACACAAAGGGAACCTAGAATTATTCATTGCCTTAGCATGCCTCATGGGAAATGACACTACTTGCTTACTCAGGAACTGCTGGAGTAGGCCCTGAATTCTTATTTGTCACCAAAGGCACCTTGTCTTCAAGACCCTGTACCCTCTCCAACTCCATGCCCACCCCTGCCAATGGCTCCCTCCAAGACAGGCTGCACCCTGCTCTTGCTGACTTCCGGTTGGCCATCGCATTCCACCCAGAGCTGAACCTGAGCTGGCAGATGAGGGGGCTCAATTCTACCGATGATCTCACCATCGCCAGCTTGGGCCCAGGGCTCTCTGCTGAGTTCAAAGCACCCACATATTCTGAGTCTCCTCCATACTTCTAAATGACTGTGTTGCTGGGACCTCAAACCTGGCCTGACCAAACTGTGCCATCCTAAATGTATTCCTCTCAGGGCCCTCGTTGGCCTATGACATTGCCACCCTTCTAGAACCCCAGTTAAGAAGTGTTAGTGTCAGATCTTCCCTTCAACACTGAGTTACCAAATTGTGCCAGTTATACTTCTCTAATTATGCCCATTCTCATTCTTTTCTATCTCTGATTCTTGCGTCAACCCAAGTTCTCATTATCTGTAATTTAATCTACTGTTAAAATATCCGAATTGTCATTTTTATCTCATTCTTTTTTAACTCCATCCTTGAATTGCTATTGGACTCGCTTCCTAAACTGCAGGTTGGTTCACTGACTCCCACAACCACCAGGTGATGCTCCGTCACGTCTACAATGTGGCAGAAATGACAGTGGAAGCGAATGTGCACTGGGTCTCCCGCGGTCAGTGCTCTGTATGCATCTTTCCAAGTTGCGAACATGTCAGTGAGGTAGGCACAACTATTCTTATCAATTCAAGGTGAGGAAACTAATGACACGTTAACGCCCTCCAACAGTGAATGTGCACACCACCCTCCGTTCCTCTTTGGCTATTGCTATGCTTCCTTCCAACCTCTAACACAGAAATTGTAAGGTTAGCCGCCACATACCAAGCAGAACAAGCTCTGAACTGGCTGGAAAGAAACTTCTCTACCATTCCCTGAAATGCTTCTCATTTTTTCAAGGCCCTACCTTGAAACTACAACCTTTTCTGTCAACTCCCTGGACTTTGCTGTTATAAACATGCTACGAAAATCTGCAGAGCTTGCAGAATTTGTATCCAAGTTATAAATTAGAGGCAGAAAACACTTTTCTAAATGACAAATGGTTACTCAAGCGCTTTCAAATATCATGTGTGATTCAAAAAAGGTAAAGGATGTCAGAACATCAAAGCATGCCATGAAGAAGATCTACTTAAATGTGAGCCTACTCTAGAAGTTGCTCAGACCCACTTGGGACTTGTGGGAAATGTGCTTTGTATCAGTGCCCACCCTTTCCAATCTGACTCTAGGAGACTATCATAAGCTTATGACAGAAAAGCTGTGAAACTGAAACTATTTGGTAAAAACCTCTTTAACAATCATGTTAACAAATTACAATTTTGTTTTTCAGAGAATAAACAACAGATAAAGGTGAGAAGAGAAGGAAGACGTAGACGTCCAAAAAGAAAGGAACTTAAATTTACAGGGGAAAATGGCAGGTGCATTAGGGAATATAAGACATCTCATCTCTAAGCTGGAAACTCGAAAGAGATAAAAAATGCACTCAATCTCAGTTTTGCAACCAGTCAGTCTTCTAGAATGAACAGGGTAAATTACTTGACTGAATGACCATCAAGATATCTGCAGTCTCAAATATGCTATCTCTAAGCCACACACTCAGGTGAGGAGTGGTGGGGAATTCCAATTCTAGGTCTGGACCAGCAAATTTCTGGGCTATGTGGAAGCAAACCACACATTAAAGGAAGCGTTATCAGAAGTCCACTGAGAACTGGTCACACTTGCAATTCCATTCCTTCAACAAATCTGTGATAAGAGCACAAGAAAAGCCAAACTGAGTCAAAGTCAGCCAGGCCAAGAGTCTCTGTTGCAGCAGGAGCCACACTCGTCCAAGGTCAGGGCTGGGGTGGGTGGAATGAGGGGAAATCTGCAAAGGAAAGGACTGCCCAACTTCCAATTACAAAGAAATCTCATGGATCAATTATCCCCAGATTTACTTAAATCTTATGGAATGTTTATGTATTTAAGGATATCAAAGTTTTTCCCTAGTAGTTAAATTTGGATATCTAGACTACTGGATGAAAGTTCAAATTCTTAGAAGGTTGATTTAATAAATTTTTAAAATAAATTATCTGCACTACAGGAAGCAAAAACTCAATTATCGCTTCTTGCTTGGTGATGTGTATGTAGAGAAAGGGAAGAATATTTCCTAGTTCTTTATTATTCTTCAGGCTCTAGTACAAATTCATAGACATTCCTGTAATCTAATGACTAAAACTGAATCTAATTCCTTTGCTGTTTTGAAGGTGTGGCGGACATTCCCTTGGCCTCTTCCTGAAGAGATTACTAATTTTCCCCTCATACATTGTGCTTGCAGAAAGCCAGTTTCCATGTTTACACCAGTTAGGAGGTGGATGTTCTTGAAGGCAGACAGTGAAGCAGGAACTTCTCCAGCATGAACTTACCCCTCTGACTCACGCCCCCCACTAGGAAGGCCCTATTTCCTTTCCTGCATCTACTCACCAGGCCTTTTTCTTCCGCCTGTGCTTGGACTCTATCATGCGAACAATGGCTTCCTCTTCGTAGGTGTGGCCACAGACTTTATTTTTCACAGGCTTCTTCATTTCCAGCTGCAGTCAAGGAAAGATTAGGCGGTTAGGAAAGATAATCATCAACTTCCGGTAACTTCTCCCAGCCACCAGTTATTTGGCTCTGTTTTTTCCTAGTCCTGGGGCATGGTCTACCTAACCTCCCTAACTCATGGCTTTGATAATTACCAGGAAGTGACCACACCAGAAATGCAGGGAAACTGGCAACAATGTTACCTGGCCTGTTGGCCACGAATTCTTAGATCCCCAGGGCCTGACTGCAAAACCCTGCCTAAGAACCTCTCATGTCCCCACCCCCCTTAACTCCGGAAGTGAATGGAGTCAGAAAACACAGGGAATTTTTTTGCCTCTGTGCAGGGGATTGCCTTTTCTTTCAGGGTCAGGGGGAGGTAGCACCTGCGTGATGGGGCAGATGAAGTTGGTCTGACTTTGGGTCACAATCATATCTTCATCAACTCCTTCTGTTACATCAGCTTCTCTGTCTGCTTGAAGACCATCTAGAGAAAAAAAAGGGAAGCTGTTGAGCCTGGTTGGTCTGACATTATGCTGAAGAAGGGAGGAAGGATGGAGGGAAGGAGGCTGATCAAGGTCTATTTGGTGTTAGCCAAGATGCTAACATTTCTATGCATATTAGCTCTTTTGCTCTTGAAAGAATCCTGCAGGGCAGGTAGGGTTCTCCTCCATTTTGATAAGGAAATAGATTCAGAGCCACAGAAATACTTTTCAAAATTACAGAGAATTAACATGTGAGTCATCAGTAATCCAGAGTGTGGTTTGGGGACCACAAAGACATGGATATCTCTTTCACTTCCAGCTCTGAGCAAGTTGGGCTGCAAGGACTTTTTTAAGACTCTACACTTTATGGTTTGGTTTGAAAAAATTAAAAGAGATGAAAAATGTGACTTGCCTTGCATAGCTTTTGGCACAAGGAAATAGTCAATAAATAAAGACAACTGCTGTTAAACTTTCTGATTTTAGAATCCTCGTATGATTTCAGATATTGAGGATTCCAAGGAACTTTTTAAAGATGGGTTCTATTTTACCAATATTTGTCATTTCAGATATCAGGAATGAGGAACTTTAGGAACATGCATTTATTACTTTATTTAACAACAGCCCCAATGACACTAGAACATTAAAATGCTATTTTCCAGAATAAAAAGTGAGGAGGGGTATTGTTTTACACTACTGGGATTTTTTAGTTCTGATCTTAGTAAAAAGGGCTGGATATTGATACCTGCGCATGCTTTCAAGGCTTGTGGTATCCATCCTGTGGCCAGTGGAAAGTCACCCAAGGAGTGGGAGTAGAAAATAGCCTCTTAGCATTATTAGAATGATTAATTTTGACGTCACAGATAGCTGACAAAGCTCAGAGAGAACCCTAAGTGTCCGGACCCACACTTTGGGAACTGCGAAGTGAATGCGTGGTGGGCTGACTTTGAATACGGCTTATTTGATTCTGAATCTGTTCTCTGCGTTACACTATACTTGGCTCTCACTGAAGGAAACGATGGTAGATGGTGAGAATATCTCAAGTCCTTCTTCTGGAGAAGGAAGACGAAATGACCAAGAGCTTTTAACACAGGGGTCAATAGTATAGTCTCTCCTTCCTCCTCCCCCTGGCACTTTGCTTTCTTTATTCTTTTCTCCCTAGCCTGCCTTCTTACATTCTGGCAAAACAGCATAGACATTAAAATTGCTTTGCTTTTAACATGTGAAGGAAACTTCTGTCAGGTTTGCCTCTGACATGCATCTTTCAGGTCCTTGAACTCACGGGTTGGCCTTGCTTCCACCTTGGCCAACGGCTGTCTGGAAGGTACACAAGGGGCAGGAGAGTGCCTGTTCAAGGTCACTCAGGGAGCTAGTGCCTGGAACCTGGGACTCTGTGCCCAATTTTTCTGCTTTTTGTAGAGGTTTCATGTGCTTCCATCAGATTACTGCTATTTATTGCCGAGTGGCCTATTTTCTTAGAGAACTGTCCACCAGGGCCCTCCCTGGTGGTGCAACAGGTTAAAGTGCAGCACTGTCATTGAGCAGCAGCTGCTTCAGTGTGAGTTTGATCCCCAGTCCAGGAGGTGACCCACACGGTGCAGCAGACCTCTCCAGGCCGCCTGCTGCTCCCCTCAGCAGTGTACTTTGTCAAACTGCCTGTTCTGCTCCCTGCTCTGTCTCTGGGGAATCCTCTCACTGCTCCTGCACCTCTGATCTGCACCCCAGTTCTTTAGGCATAAATAAATAAATCTTAAAAAGAAATTATTTGCTCAGATCAGCTTTCAGTCCCAGAAGAAGGTACATATGAAGACTTCAGAGCTAAGGACTTCCCCTGGCAGAACATTCTAAATCATCGGTTGTGAGGTATAGTGTCTGGAACCTTGCTAATTTTCAAGGACCTGTAAACATGAAAGATGCCTCAAAAACCATGTATTGTCTTCAAAACCAGATAGCTACAAATTTGAAATAAAATGTTAAGGTGTCCACAATATAATGGCAGGTTAACTTTACTAATTATAGGCTTGGTAATGAAAAACTATTTTATCTGGAAGCAATATATAGCCTGGTTTTAGTTTTTAAGTTAGTCTTAATAATCCCCAAGTATGTTAACATAATGGCTGCAAAATTAATAGCTAAATATAAATCATTGCTTGCTTGCAGCCAAGCACTTTCCAGAATGAAACTGTAAAAAATACTCCTCAAAAAATATTTTAGAAAGAAAATTCTATTTAAAGTGGATCTTGCCATATTTCAGTACACCTGGTCTGATGTGGGATGCGGCCTCTGAAATAATATTCCTCAGACCAATGAAGGATTTTGTGCTCCCCAGGACCTGCCTGGCTGTGGAATATGCCAGAGCCAGAGTCAGTTTCTTAATGAAGCCCATTTTATCAATTCTGGCAGGGAAGTTGGCCAGAGAAGGTGGAAAGGTCCAGGAGCAGGGGGCTTCTGTCTCTTTGCCTCACTTTCCAAAGTCTCCTCTTTCCGGGCTGACTGCAAAGGTCCATTTCTGATTGTGTGTGTGATCGTCAAAACAAAAGTCTCTCTGTCCACTGCTTCCAGGGCTTATTCTGACTGTATATATGTCACACTATGGAATTCACCAAAAAAATCTGATAGATGATAACAGTTCAGCCAGTGTGAAAAGACTGGTTTCACTTTTCATTTTCTATTTTTAGACTTTAAAAGGTAGAAGCAGCAAGAAAGTAGGAGGTAAATGCAATTCTAACCTCCAGGGGAGGCAGAGTGAGTGGGGTTCACTCAGAGGCTGGAGGTGCCCTTCAACCCCAGTGATCACAAAAGCCAATAACAAAAGTGAGATTGAGGAAGAGCCACCGTGAGCAACAGCCCGCAGACCAGGCATCTAAAAAGAGAAAGATGCGCAACAGTTACACTTCTCTTGACACAGAACATTTCCTCACTCTTAATCTATAATTATAGCAGTGATGTGAACACTGGGATTTTGTGTGCTACAGGAAGGTCACATCTAGCAATAAATATCACTTATGCTAATGTAGTGAAGCACAAGACAAAATTGTTTGATAAGTGTTTCCGCTGACAAACTTGATATCAGATGGGACAGCAACTAGAGCTCAGACCAGGCTCAGAGAAGTGCTAAGGCTGAAGTTGTCTGTCTATATTCTCTCCTTCACCAAAGACAACAGAGATCCAAAGGCATTATAGGCTTCATCTGAAGTCATGCAGGGGTCGAGTGATTCTGTGTATGATCTACTTTCTTGATCTGGTTAATCTGAATTCTAGAATCAGTGTATTGGTTTGGGGAGCCACTCTTCTCCCCCCATTATATTTTATTAATAACTTCTCAAGTTCGCTGAGTGCTGTGTAGGCGCTTCAGGAACATTATTCCTCACAAAATACCCACAAGCCAAATTAAGCCCCCAAATATTTTTAAGGCAAGAGTAGCCAGCGTTAGCAATATGATGACTAAGTAGCTGAAATCAGTTTGTTATGAAAGAGATGGCAAAGTTTTCCTGATTAGAAAGAGAAAACAAGGTATATTGTTGGAGTATATACCTGCTGACCACTTCTGACTGGGAAGTTGTCACACCTAAGACCCATGCCCAGGCTCAGGGAACCCAGAATGTGCTGAGGAGTGTAGCCTGGACAGCAATGAACATGAAAGGAACACTGGAGGCAGAAGGGGGGTGGCTGGAATGGATGAAGGGGTCAAAGGTACAAACTTCCAGCTATAAAATAAATAAGTTCTGGGGAGTCGCGCACAGCATGGTGACGGCAGTGAATAATATGGTTCTGGGTATTTGAAAGTTGCTCAGAAAGAGATTCTCATCCCCACGTGATACTTTTGTAATTATGTGTGGTGAGGGATGCGAACTAGACTTGTGAGATCATGTCACCATATACACAAATATTAAGGCATGTTGGACCCCTGAAACTCATGTTCTATGTCAATGATATCTCAGCAAAATATTTTAAACAACCAAATGTACACAGTACCCACAAGGGAGGCACTGGAGTGTGAGCGAATAACTTTAATGCGATTTTTTTGAGGTCATAAGCGGAACACCAAAAGATAGGAGAAACATACTGGACCCTGGAAAGTTGCTAAGAAAGCAGATCCTAAAAAAAATTGCATCACAAGGGGAAAAAGAAACACCTGCAGTAGTGATTACATAAAGAACTTCCAAAAGTACAAATATGCCCCAGTGATGCAAAGTTAGGGGGTGGTGAGGTTTGTGACTACTCAGTTAAGGCTCATAATGACCAGCTAAGCAGCTCTGCTTTTAATTGTCCTCATCTCAATCAATATCCACCTCTATATTCAAGCCAAACCTCTGGAGTTATTCTTGATGACTCCTTTTCCTTCACATGCTCAGTTGGCTGATTCTGTTGGCTGGCTCAAAATTATCTTCCAAATCTGGCCCTTTCTCTCGTGTTCTGTTACATCTTACCTACCCCAAACCACCAGGACTTCCTGCCCAGACCCCTGTAGCAGGCTCCCACTAGAGTCCAGCTTTGACAAGGCCACCACCTCCCCTGCTCCTGACAGTCTCCACACAGACAACTTCTGACCAGTTTCCTTCTCCCTACCACGCTCCAGGAACACTGGGCTTTTCTTTGTCTCTGGAACATGTCTTTACACTGGCCTGCCTGAACGTTCATCCTCCTGATCATTGCCTGTCCTTCTCCTTGTCATTTTTAAAAGTCATTTTAAATGCCATCACTTTGGAGAGATCGTCTCTTGGTGTCCCAAGCTAACAAAGCCACCCAGGCGCTCTCGCCCACGTCACTGCTGTGACTCCACACAGCACAGAGCTTGAAGTGCTATTTCCTGGTCTGCCACCTTCTCTCCTCCTCTCTCCCCCTCACCAGGAAGGCAAGGGCTTTGTTGTCTTGTTCACTGATGTTTCCTAGAGTCTTAAATGTCCTTGGCATGTAGTGGTGGGTGTTTGATAAACATCGGAGCAGTGAAGTACTTCATCCAACAAGGCAAGAGTGGGCATATTTTCTACGAGAGTATACTTAA